GGGTACACAGGACCCAAAAGACAAATGCAAGCAGTGCAAGAAAGGAAAAAGATGGTGTGAGGGAGGCTCGGCGGAGACAAGATGCATTCCCTGCCAGAAAAGGAGATTCAGGTGCTCCATGCTGGCTCCTCTAAATGAGCCGGAATGTGTTGCCTGTCAGGGGAGCCGAAGATGGGGAAGTGCCAGGAGATGTCAGGCAATACCATGCCTACGCTGTCGAACGTCCGGAAGAACATCCTGCAGCTTCCGTGTCGATCCGAATACTGCGGTGTACCACCCAATACGGCAAAACCTTCACCCTAAATCAATGTGGCACAGAATTGATGATCTTGGTATTCAGCATGAGTGCTGCGCCCGCTGCGCCGAGCTTGGCCAAAACATTGACGTCGTCTTTCATCCAGATTACAAGTTCCCATGCAACATATGTGTCGCAAGGCAGGAGCTTCTTGGAACGAAGCAAGGCGCGACGTGTCTCCAGTTCAACGATGATGGAGGATATAAACGTTTTTTCTTTCGTGGCATTCTGCGGGGCCCTCCACCGCGACGTCTAAGATCACCACCACCAATAACAGAGGCAGGCACGACGATGGGGGAAGACGAAGAAGACTGGGAAACGCTGGATGACTCCCTTGATGAAGATCTCGAAGTCGAGGATGGCGAGATGCTCATCGACCCTGCGCTATTGGAGCCGCAAGCCAATCTCGCCATTACATCCTGCGCCAGCAGAGGAATTCATTCGCCATCGCCTTTGCGTATCCACAGTAACTCAACAACCTCCACGTTTTCGTCGCCCGTCTCCCTTCGGCAAACGGCCGACAAAGGGAAGATCACCATGGAGGAAGCTCGCCTACCTACCATCTGTATGATGTCAGTCTCAACCAACTCACTTGGTCCTGAGCCACACAACAGGAAGACGGCCTTGGCCTCCACTGAATGGTATCAGTGGGAGCAAGCCATGCATGAAGAGTATAACAGCTTGCTGGAAAACAAGACATGGGAAGTGGTGGATCGACCAACAAATCGCAAAGTACTTACCGGTCGGTGGGTCTTCAAGCGGAAACTTGGCTCAGATGGAGAGGTTGCTCGACACAAGGCAAGATTTGTCGTGCGAGGTTTCTCACAGATATATGGCCTTGATTTTGATGAAACCTACGCCTCTGTCGTCAAGTCAGCATCTTACCGAATACTCTTTGCACTTCAAGCTCGATACGGCTGGAAGTGCCACCAAATGGATATCAAGACAGCATTTCTCAATGGCGACCTTGAACACGAAATCTTTGTTGAACCACCAGAGGGGTACCCCGAAACGGGTGATCAAGTCCTCAAGCTATGCAAATCGTTATATGGGTTGAAGCAGGCGCCAAGACAGTGGTACTTCAAGCTCAGGGCATTTCTCGAAGAAAATGGGTGGAGAGTCTCAAACTTCGATCCTTCAGTCTTCATCAAAGATGACGAGAACCTGATCATGGAAGTGTATGTCGATGACATTAACATCTTCGGCCAGAATGAGAATCGTATCGTAGCCATGAAACGTCAGTTGGCTTCACGCTTTAACATGACAGACCTTGGCCTCTGTGCTTACTACCTGGAGATGCACGTACATCAAAAGGCCAATGGCGATGTTCACCTGCATCAGGAATCATACATCCAGCAGATCCTCAATCGCTATGGCCTACAGGACATCCCCCCACGAAAGACGCCCATGCGAACAAGCCCGAAACTAACCAAAAATGATGGCCCATCAAGAGCTCTTGACTTTCAAAGGCGATACCAGTCAAAAGTTGGAGCACTTAACTACGCAATGGTGGTCACGCGGCCGGACCTTGCAGAAGCAGTGGGAGTTGTCTCCAGATTTTGTGCAAACCCAACCGAAGAACATATGAAAGCCGTCGATGATATCTATGCGTATCTCAAATATACACCCAACCTCGGACTTCATTTCAAAAGGAACTGTGCAGATCGAGAACTGCATGCATATGTTGATGCCGACTGGGCCGGATGTCCAGACACTCGACGTTCTACTACCGGCTACGTTGTCAAACTTGCAGGGAGCCCTGTATCATGGTCGTCCAGAAGGCAAAGGACCGTGGCAATGTCAACCTGCGAAGCTGAATACGTGGCTGGATACAAGGCCACTCAGGAGATCATTTGGATCCAGAACATGATCAACGACCTTCACATCAAGGATCTTGAAGTTGCATCAACTTCACTTCTAATCGACAACAATGCTGCACTCAAGCTGACACGGAATCCGGAACTGCATGATCGCACAAAACATATCGATCTCAAATATCACTTTCTGCGAGAAATGACACTCGGGGGGAGAATCAATACCCAACGGGTTAGCAGTAAGGACAACCTAGCTGATCTGCTCACCAAGCCGCTTCCCAGAGACACCTTTGAGAATTTAATCAAAGGGCTTGGGATGGACAAGAGCTCCTGCACTAACCCCGTCACCCGCAGCTAGTGGGAGAGTTGTTTCTGAACAGCACGTGACGAGGTAGCGTGTATGCCTACCAGGCATACACGCCACGATGGAGTCTGTGGCTTGGCTGCCTAGATAGGCAGACGAAGCCTACAAGTATATAAGTACCTAGAAGCTCATAGGTTAATAGGATACACTTGAGGAATCACATTTACAAGTCAAGGCTCCCCACTGTCCCCGATCCTGTATCTCTTCTACAATGCTGATCTCATCGAAGCATGTCAGAGCGATAACACCGAAGCGGTGGGTTATATCGACGACGTCGCGATCCTCGTCACTGGACCAACACCACAGTATAATTGCAAAGTACTCAAGATGCGTCATAGGCAAGCCGAGAAATGGGCAACACAACATGGCTCGGAATTTGCGCCCAAAAAGTACGAACTGGTGCATTTCAGCAGAGATCCGTGGATGAACACAACCCACCCCCTCCACTTACCCCAGGTGGTTGTCAAGGCTTCACCCTCATGCCGTTACCTTGGTGTTCAGATGGACTCCCAACTCACTTGGGACTACCATCGCGAGGTAATGGAAACCAAAGCCACGAAACGGCTTTCGGCCCTGTCAGCCCTGGCATCGTCCACATGGGGGCCGGTCTGATCAATCTAAGACAAGTATACAGAGCGATGATCGTCCCTCAAATGCTGTTCGGATGCTCCGCATGGCACGCTCTTGGTCGCCGAGGCGGTAGGGTTAACAGTGCCATGCTCAATGCAATCACGAGAATTCAATGCAGGGCCGCGCAGATTATCACTGGTGCCTTCCGAACCACGGCGAGCGCCGCAGTTGATGTAGAGGCCAACCTGTTACCAGCGATACTGCAACTTGAACAGACAGCCCTCGAAACGACGATGCGGATTCGGACCACTCCCCTCCATGCAGAGATGGCACTGATTGGAGACAACGGCGGGATGAGCACCTTCAATCGTCTTTCTAATCTCCTCGAAAAGAAATACCACGTTCGGCTCGACCACCTAGAAAAGCGCCAGCAACATGTGGTCCCACCCTGGTGGACACCTCCAGCCACGCACATTGACAACTCAGCTGAGGAAGCCATCAAGCGACACGATACCACAGACTCGCAAACATTGCGCGTCTACACAGATGGCAGCGGCATCGACGGCCACGTCGGTGCCGCTGCAGTCATACTCAACATGCCCGTGGTAGATGTGTTGGCAAAGAGAACGGAATACATGGGTACCACAACCACCTCGACCGTGTACGCAGCCGAGTTGCGAGGCATCGAGTTGGGACTCCACATGATACTTGATGTCCAAGCAAAGACAAACACACCGCATCAATCCGTCATCTTTACCGACAATCAGGCCGCCATACGAGCCATGGCTAACCCCAAGTGCCCATCTGGTCAATACATCCTCGTGCGCGCGGTACGACTCCTGGATCAACTCCGAGAGAAAGGATGGCAAATTCAGCTCTGTTGGGTCCCTGCACATCTTGACGTACCCGGCAACGAAGCTGCTGACCGAGCGGCGAAAGAGGCCGCGAGCCAGACGGGAGTGATGGAGGACCCGGATACCCATGCGGAAGACCATCAACCTCGGATTTTAACAGCAACCACCAAAACCGCCATCCGGCGGAACATGAAGATCGAATGGGAACGATCCTGGGAAACGGCCAAACACGGACGAGAGCTATACGGACTTGGAGTCCGCCCGGGAAAAGGCCTTTTGGCCGCACATAAGGGCATGCACCGCGCAATCAGCTCGGTCATGACACAGATGCGCACCGGCAAGATCGGCTTGCGCTCCTACCTCCACGCCATCAACAAGGTCGACACTGATCAGTGCGACTGCGGTTATGGACGCCAGACGGTACGCCATATCTTACTCGAATGTCGGAAATGGTGCGAGGAACGACAAAAAATGTGGGCAGGCAAAACTCCGTGCGTGGACACCAAGCAGATTCTTTGCAGCTCCTCAATCGCCGTACGCGCAGCTAAGATGATGATCAGGACGGGACTGCTGGAGCAATTCCGCGCAGTGCCGTCCACGGTATTCGAACACACCTAGCGTAGACGAGTGTTTATTAGTAAGCAGAACAAAAGGAAAGCCAGGAAAGGCTGGACAAGTACACAGACGCAGGACACAGTCATTAAGGCTATAAGTGCAGGCATACTGTAACCACGTGGAGTGGAGGTAGAAGCAGTTCTGGGCAGGAACGGCTTATCGTACAGAAGCTTGACTGGGGGAGGTGCCTGTACTTATAGTCGTTTCGCTGCATAGCCGCTACTGTAAAGGTGGCTGGGACAGACTATGACGTAATCAATCAATCAATCAATCAATCAATCAAGCACCGTCTTCGAAAATGCTGTACTGTACTGTACCTCAGGACAGAATTTAGAATCGGAGCATCTGGTACAGTAGCAGGCTTGAGCGACGTCAAAGAGGCGACCTTGTGAAGATTCTTCTACCACGATTTTCTTTGTGTCATCCGTATAGACAATATAGTACTGTACCTGTCTTACTGATTCACCTCATGCTTTTGTCGTTCCAGTTCAACCTGCCTTCGCCGTGCTTTGTTTCTTTTCGAGCGCTATCTGCTGCTCTAGCTCCAGCCTCTTTCGTTTAGTCTCTCTCTTCTCCAGTGCTTTCTGTTGCTCCAATATCACTTTCTTTTGATTTACCTCCTTCTTCTCAAGTGCCCTCTGCTGCTCCAGCTCCACCCGCTTTCGTTTGGCCTCTTTCTTCTCTAATGCCTTCTGTTGCACTAAATCTCTTATCTTCTGCTTAGCCTCTTTCCTTTCGAGTGCTAGCTGCTGCTCTAGCTCCAGCCTCTTTCGTTTAGTCTCCCTTTTCTCCTGTGCTTTCTGTTGCTCCAATATCACCTTCTTTTGCTTTGCCTCTTTCTTCTCAAGTGCTCTCTGCTGCTCCAGCTCCACCCGCTTTCGTTTGAGATCTCTCTTCTCCAATGCTTGCCGTCGCTCGGATTCACTCTTCCTTCGCTTAGCCTGTTTCTTTTCGAGTGCTATTCGCTGTTCCAATTCAGCTCGGTTTCGCACATTCTCTTTCGTTTCCTGAGCCATGTTTGGCGCCGTCTCCGCTTTGCATTGTTCATCTTTTGTGATATTCTGCAATTGGACAACCGTCCCACACGATTCAACCACCTCTAGAGCAACATGATCCTCGGTAGATGTATAATCACGAATGATACGTCCCTTTGCTAGCAGGTTCGCAATGAATCTTTGCCACGTGTTCGACATATCAAGGGGCCAGATTTGATACTGAAAAGTGGCTCCGCCCGCCACTGTGGGATGTGCATATTCGATTCGGACGGTACCACGTCCGCCGACAAGTCCTTTCAGAATTGGTTCTTCTAAGTCTCGATAGTTCGATCGCTTTCTGGTGCTGTAGATGCTTGGAGGGGGTCTTGTGAGAACGACGGCCTGACGGCCACCACGGCATGCGTACTCTGCAAATCGACCAGAAGCCGCCTTCATATACCTCGACCAAGCTTTCAAGTTCTTACCATATCTTACACTACCTGGATTGCGATCGCTATATAAGGGACCCATTGCGAGGGTCAATGTCGGCAGATCGTGTTCCTCCGCCCATCGACGGGCAAGCTCAGGCGGCACGCCTGTCCAAAAAACAAGCCAAGTCGCATCTTGCAGTGCGAAATCGAATCTCGAGTCGAGTCGAGACAAGTCCTTTGAGCTGCAATATTGTAATGGATCCCAGGTAGCAGCCGCAAGCGCATTCGCCATCGTACCGAAGAGATAGAGAATGAAACACCTGTTCTAGTTTCGGAACGTAAGAGAAGAAGAGCCGGAAAACAGTCACCATGACCCCGCATTATGAGGAAATAGTACGTAAGTGCCGTCTCCAATAAGAGAATACCTTCCTGAGGTGGTGGTGGTCTTTGTGTACGAGCACAGACGAGCACAGACCAGGCACAGACCCAGCACAGACCTGCAACAATACTTGTTCCCAAACCCAGACAAGTCGATTAATCCTGAGAGCTGCATCGGTGCTTTCGTGATCCATCCGTCCGAGTAGGTGTTGGCTGAGCCCTTCTCGGAATCTTGTCTGTCGTGTTCTTTAACTGGTCTTGGTACTGTCGGGGATCAAAACTTGGAGGAAGCTTGAGCGAGGAGGGTTTCCAAGGCTTGCTCGAGCGTCTTGAACATTGATGCTTCTCCATGACGATAATTCCATACCCTGTTGTGTTCTGAAGCATCGACGAACGGATCTTTGATAAAGCGTGAGTGTTGTGAAACGCCTTGCTTCAAACCCGCCCCGCATAAACATTCTTCCTTCCAGCCCTAGGATAACACCTTCTGGCTCTCTTCCAGATCAGCAGGGTAACTCAACGTTTATAAGCCGTCGTTTCTGATTCTCCTGCAGATAGACCAGTACCTCGTGTACAATTACCATTCCTGAGAGTAACATCCTGGTGGGGAGAACTTCGGCTCTTGGGTTAAAAGTCGCAAGACATGTAGTGTGGAAGCGTGTGGAGGCGCATATTTGGTGGATCTTGGAAGTGGCCACGGCTGCGACTAGGGTGGCACACGCTGCCAGCGAGTAGGGTTCGGTGGAGTCCAGAGGTGCTTTATGAAATATGCGTCAGCGACGCTGTTCTTCTTGGACTCCACGTCGAAACCGGAGAAATCGGCAACGCAAACACCCTGATTGATGGGATTTTCTGAGAGCAATGAAAACCCAACTTCCAGAGCCAGTCTCTCCTTCTGCTGTCTGTCTTGAAGTTCCTGCTTCGAGATTGAGATATGTGGAAGTGTAATGGAAGCGCTCAAGTCTATGAGGTGGACTTTCTGACGTGATTCTTCAACGAGGAAATTAGAAGCCGCGATACCGCCGTGTAAAATTTCAACGTCATGCAAAGCTTTCAATAATTTGCGAGCTTGCTTTGCAATGTCCGAGGTCAACTTGATCTGCGTGAGCGGCCGGCCATCAACCCACTCGTACAGTATGCCCCGTATCTGCTGGTGTTCAACATTCTCTGGTCTATCCCATAGAAACGGTTGTATTCCAAATCTTAAAGCTACCTCTAGCTCTATAGCGTCAGGTATATCGGTCCAACCGTAACAGAACGGGAGGATTTGGCCGTTCAAACCTCGTTCAATGAGAGAGCCGTTTGCGCGGCATTCGATATAGAAAGGGTCGTAGAAGGCTTTTCGTTTTGTCCCCTTGAATTTGGTAGCATTCAATGCGGGATTATCGAATTTAAACTTAACAGGAGTTAACAGGCGTTGAAGGGAACAAATGGTGGAACTTACCATCTTCAAAGCGAAGTCTTCCTTATTCATGCGGATCTTGAAAACATGACCTGCCCGTCCGTTCCCAGCGTATTTTCGGAAACGAATTTCATGGTGCAACTTGACAGGTTTCAGGACGAGGGAGTCAAACTCATGGAGTTCGGTCTGCGGCATCGTTGTATCTACGGTGTCAAAGTCAACCGGGTTGGAGGCGGATGGAGATGTGAAGGCCGTTGAGAGTTGGGCTTGGCGCGTTGGATGGATCACGTGGCACGAAGACGTCATCAAGCTTTCACCAGCAGTAGCCAACCTCGGCTCATCACACATTCTACTGTAATGTTTACTGCATGCACCATGATTATCACCGTATCTGGGGAGATGTAATTGTGCCTTTCTGTCCTTTAAGAGAGACAAAGATACTGCGCTCCACTATACCAGTGATCCCCATTGAATCACGACTATGGCGCAGCTTCAATCAGAAGCCCTCTTTCCGGGAGCGTTTGAGAAACTCTTCGTGAGCCTTCCTGTTGGAAGCACCAGTGACCCTTTCCATCTTTGATCCTCCGCCAGCTTCCCAGAGGTTGATACGATTCTTCGACAGAAATGTCAGATGTCGCAAGGATATGGACGAACCACGCTCCCAAGTTGATGGTTAGCTCCGCCGTACCGGCGTTAGCCCAGGGAATAATGGCAATCTCCAAAGGTGCCTCATTTATATCTGGGTTTCCCGCATCAGTATATGGGGATCCTGAAGAGTCAAGAGACATTGCCGATGTCCCTGAAACTACTGAGGTGAGAGATGTCACACGATTGTGCGTTGGTGGAGGTTGACGTCGTGCCCTGCTCGCAGATAGGGATGTAGGAGGTTCTTGTGATTTTGTCCGACGAAAAAATAAGGCTTCTGCGTCCGAGATGATATATCCATACCTTGTGTTGGTGCGGACACAGTATAGGAGGAGCTGCCGTAATGGTTTCCAATATTCCTCTTGTATACTCACCGAGGCGGAATCTTTCATCGCCGAGCTCCATTTCGATGACGGTTTCGTATCTCCGGGAACACGATTTTCATACGGAGGTAGTCCGCGATGGACAGTGCCAGCCCAATCAGGGCGCAGCCTGCGATCTTCTTGTACATCAGCGAGGGATCCCCAGGACATGGAGATTGGGAGGTGAAGCCCCCGGCCCTCCAGTCGAGATTGCGCAAGCTCGAGGGCTCGGTCAATGATCGTATGGTTGTGCTTTTTCAAAATGCTTTCCACACAGCTTTCGTCTGTTAGCCGGCGGTGGTGCTGGGGTAGAGGAGGTGGATGATGAAGGTCCTTGGCCTCGAAATTGCGCCCAAGGATGTCTCCGAAGCAATTTAAAACAGTCTCGAGAGTGAAATCGTCCCAATGTTGGACCCCCTCGATCTCATATGTACCAACAGGGAGTGTATTCATACCGGGTCGTAAAGTCGTCCGGTCAAGTTCAGGATTTGGGAGTCCTAGATATTCGTGGAGAGTGGGCATTGCAAAGGCAAATCAATGTTGGAGTCTGCAAGAGAATAAGGGTTTCTCCAGAAAGCGTTACAGTACAGTATTCTCAGTCATGCTACTGATTTCTGATACAGACATATAGTTACCTTCGGTGACTCTGTGCGCATGCGAACTGAGAACTACGGGATTGACAACCCATCTATCATCATGACAGCGTACTGGTCGGCGACATCTGCTACAGTACATAACGTGTCAGACAATCATTCGACAGAATTCCTGCAGTGGCTAGGCTACAATCTATCATAAATACCAATCACGGTATCAAGCCAAGGTCCAATCTGACTTAGCCGGGTCCGAAGCACGTGCCGACGAGCCCAGAATTGACCCCTGCATTGCACTTTTCACATTCGTGTTGACATGGGTGATCTTGGCGTGTGAAGAAACTGTGGCGGATAGGTTCTTGTCTAATGTTGGGTTATAGGTGAAACATTCGATGGCAGAAGTCATTTGCGCAGTGTAGGTCATGCTGTGAGTCCCATCCTTAAGAGGGCTTGTGCTAATGCCTGATGTGTTGTCCAAAAACTTGCCAGGTAGTGGCTCTACGGTTCACCGTAAAAGAAGCCCAATCTGCTGTATGTTTGACATCATAGAAGATTCGAGAATGCTGGCGCACCCCCAAAAAGACAGGTGTCCTTTGTAGAGGTGTCAACGCTGTATGCAGCCCAAAGTGCAGACCGACAGTGCGAGTGTCGACATCAATTGACGACTCTCTTTCTTGTACAGTACTGTATGTACAGATAGACAATCTTTTAGGCTTCATTCTCTCGCAACGGCCCATGTCGATCATGGCTCCAAATCTGTCCCGGTCACAACACGGACAAAGCGAGCACATGATTCCCAGCCAATCACTTACGGCTTCAGACATAGCCAAGGTGGTTGGTTGTACTAGTCGCACTGTTAAACGACACCGCGCTGAAACTTCTGACAGGCTCACGGAAAGACGCCAAGTCAAGCTAATAAAACGCGTTCAAATGACATAAATCAGTTTCTTAGATACAGATCGAAATTTCCAGTCAATAAATTACAGTTGAACATAATTGGACTGTTAGAGTACAACACGCCTAACTATATTAAGTAAAGCCTCGATAGCGGTGGATACTTTCTAACTTAATTTATATAGTTCTGTATTATTAAAGGTGACGCCAGTTTCGCACATTAGTGTAAGTTGTAGTGCACGAAGCCGTATGAAAGAGAGACAGCTAGAAATTCGCCTTCTTTCCACCCAAAATTCCAGCCGAAAGCCTGGACTTAACTACAGTACTATCGTTTGTAGACTCTTAGATATCGCCCACAGCACGACCATCTACACTGTATTGCTACTGTAACGGACCATGCCTCGAGCTATGTGCTTCAGAAATTGTCTCTTATGAGATCCCACGAGTCATAATGTAACCATGCGATAGTGCACAGCGGCCAACGGTGTGATATCTGTGATTTCCAGAACTATGTGTTTTACGTCTTACCACGCTTCTTCGTGGACTTTGCCCGACGACCATCGCGAACATTGCTTTTCGTGTACTACTTTATCTAGTCGAGAGCAATAATTCGGGAGACGTATTTCACACTTTACCGCACTTTTTGGAGGATTTTGTCACTAAGCTGACGAATCTTGACGCGACCTTTTGTCATACTTCTCTCCATGTATTCCCTCGCCCACGCGGTGCATTTCGATTTTATCACAATATACTATGACATTTTACCCGTGCTGTCCTGACCACTCAGTCTCTTGCGTCTCGGTGTACACTTATTACGATATTTATGCAGGGGTAAATTACTGTACTCAATCCACAAAATGTTGCTTAACCGCTGGAAAAGGTGTCAGAATGCCTACGGCTACTGACTGTATCGCATAAACTGCTCAGTCAATCAACGCCGGCCCTGGTAGATACCAACGGTGCCCCTCGAAACCTACAAACATGTCAAGGCGCTGCACACCATTTGACGGGTACAGATCCGAGGAAATGCGGGCCGGCGTCGATTTTCTGATTCAGATAAAGGGCACAGTTCTATGAGGTTCGCTTGAGTTCTGGCGAGAGTATCACCCCGTAAGGCAGACTAATGCAGAGTAGAAGGCTCGACCAGATCTAAAGTGCAATTCCGCTGCGTAAATGTCGTGACAGAGGTGAACGAGATGCGGAAGACGGGTCGGAAGACGGGTCGGAAGAGGCCGCCGGAGCGGTCGCAATAGCCGGTGTAAGATACCACAGTATTCTGAGGGAAATGGGCTTTGCCTCGTGATTGGGCGAGACAATACACGGAGAAGTGTGGCAGAAGAAGAAATATAGTGCACGAACGGGTAAGGACCGGGTGGTCATCAAAGAGGTCGCGACGGTCGAGACGGTCGGTGGCAAAATCCATGAAGAAGCGTGGTAAAACATGAACCCCCACTCCGCCAAAACTCCGCCAATCTCTGCTGCCCGTGATTGGCTGACGAAAAGACACAGATAATCGTGGGAAAATATGGAGCACTCCGCCAACGTCCGCTGTCCGTGATTGGATGATGAAAAGCCATAGGAAACAGTGGGAAAAGGTCATCAAAGCGGTCGCGACGAGTCGTCGGGCAAAATCCACGAAGAAGCGTGGTAAAGCGTGGTAAAACGTGAAACACTCCGCTCACATCCGCTGCACCGTGATTGGATGCCCACAAGCCACAGAAAACAGTGGTGAGAGGTCGATAAAGAGGTCGCGACCAAGAGTGCAGAACCATGGTTTTCTGTGGCAAGATGTGGAACCCGCCTGAGGTGAAAATAAAATGCACTTTGATTCGTGATTGGACGAGGCAATATACGAGAACCAGTGGGTAAGTGGTCATCAAAGAGGCCGCGACACTGACACTAACTAGGCAAAATCCACGAAGAAGCGTGGTAAAATATGAAACACTCCGCCAACACTCCGCAAAATTCCTCTGCCCATAATTGGATGCCCAAAAGCCATAAGAAGTCGTGATAAGAGGTCATCAAAGCGGTCGTGACGGTTCGCGGGCAAATCCACAGAGAAGCGTGGTAAAGCATGATAGAATATGAAACACTCCGCCAACATCCGCTGCGCCGTGATTGGATGCCGAAAAGCCATGGGAAACCGTGGAAAGAGGTCGATAAGGAGGTCGCGACGGCTCGCGAGTAAAATCCCATGAAAAAGCGTGGCATAACATGAAACACTCCGCCAGCATCCGCCAGCATCCGCTGCCCAGGATTGGATGCCAAGAAGCCATACGAAACCGTGGTAAGAGATCGATGAAGAGGTCGCGACCAAGAGCGCAGACCCCATGATTTTTGGCGGCAGGATGCGGAACCCGACACCAAGAGAAGGCTGTATAGTCCATTGCCTCACTCACTCATACCCAGCAGGAAGTTTTCAGGCTTGAGACACAGTACAGTATTGTATCGTATTACAGGACTGTACTAGGCCGATTAAGTGGCAGCTATGCAGCGTTCGACTATGAGTAGGATACACCTAATAACAATCATAATATCTGTTCTGTATCTATGTACGTGTCGGACCCTTCCAGTAGAAACCCTGAAGTGAGAACAAGTGTGATGGTATTTGGAACTACAGTACCTATGAGGGTACGGAAGTTACTTATAGCCATAGCCAGTGCCCTCGGGCACTGGCTAGTGCAGCAACTGCCTAGTAGGCAGTTGCCACTAGTTGTGATGCTGCCTGCAGCGAGCATCACGTGACCTGGGATCCAACTCTTCCCGGTCCTCCTGTGTTTCTGTTTATCAATAAACACTCGTCTGCGCCGGTGTGTAGTTGTACCGTGAACGCGACCGACAGGACTTGGTCCGCGGCATTCGTCCAATCCGCGTTCTGCTTGGCTGGATTACTGTCGCTGGGGGGCATTGCCGAGCGCCTGGCCGGCCCCAGTGCGATAGCCACTGGTTGAGAGTGCGCTGCATGAAGTGCAGATGTACTGTATGGGAAGTACGTGTAGTGTGCGAGGCTTGCTCGTTGATGCTTCTCGGGTCAATGCTCACCTTCGACCATCGAGACACCATCGGCAGCCGGACGCGTCGCCACGGCGTCCTTCGCGTAGATGGAGTGCCGCGATGTTGACAGGCAGCGTAAGTGGCAGTATGTAACGTGTCTTGAAGATCTGTTCTGAGCTATGGGTGGTGTTGGTAGTGATAGCATAATTCGATATGGTGACTTCCTGAGGTGTGTTCTCTGTGTGATGGACCATCTCTTTCCCGTCAACTCCGCCTCTTCGCCGTGTACTCTTCACTCTCCGATACCGTAAACCATAGTCGGGCAGGAAGATGGAGTGCCGAAGTCCATCTTCCATCCAGGGGCGTACATGAGAGAGGCACCACTCTCCTCCCGCGTACTGATACTGTATGTTTGATGTTTCGGGAGGCTCAGAAAGTGATTTTCGACGTGTCGACGCGTCGTTGAAGGAGGAGATGGAGGAGATGGATGTGTCTGAAGATATTTTCTGTGTTGTGCGTGATGAGGAGTGTTCTGTGTTGTGCGTGATCGCAGTGATGTCGTGTTGATTATATGCCTCTTATTGATTCCGCCTCTTCGTCGCGTTTCTTCACGCTCTGACATCGTAAACTGCGGTCGGGCAAGAAAACGGGGGACTCAAGTCCGTTTTCCATCGTGGGTGTACATGAAAGGGAGGCCATTCCCTTCCCGTGTACTGTACTGGTACTGCATGTTGGGTGTTTCGTGAGGTGCAGAGGGTGATTTTCGGGACTTTGACGCGTCGTTCATGAGAGGATCACCGCGTTGTTGAGCTCCTCCTGGCACTCAGAGACAGCCAGACTGTTTCTCTGAGAGTTCCCAGCGTACACCACGTGGAGGTGGGAGCTCGTCGTCCGCCCAGTATCAACTGCTGTATTGGATCCACAGGAGCGGTGCACCTTTCGAGGCAGGTGACCGTTCGAGCTGCTTGATAGGAACTCGAGTGACGTCCATCTATTGAGGAACCTCTGTGGTCGTGCCCAGGAAGATGGTCTCTGCCGGAACGCTCTCCGCAATCTGCATCAGACGATCCTGCGTAGACAGAAAATTTCGTTGTATTTCTGCACCTCCTGATCTGGGCTCACTTTCCAATGTCTGACGGTGCCATACCTTACGCCGGAGGCTAGCAGCGAGCCGTGGGGCGAGGAGGATACCGCGTTCACATAGTCCATGTGCCCCTCAGGTGGCTGCACCGCCTAACACGTGCTCACATTCCCAGTCATAGTGGCTACACGAAGCCAGACTTTCCACGAAGGTAGTCTGCCACAAATTTGTTTCTTTGTGACCATAATACCAGGGAAAGCGTTGATCCAACCTAATCTTTCAGAGGCAGCGTCTTGTTCAATAATTCTTGTTCAAAGGAGGAATTGTCGATTTAAGGGTCCTATCCAGATCCTTCCCGCTTCTGCGTCAGAGAGTGTCGAAATGAGCGAGTGTGCACTTGAATGTAAGGCCTCTGCGTCCAAGTGCCATTCCTGAGCCTAATCAAACTTTGGGGTAGACATTGAAACTTGAAAGCGAGGTCGGACGGTGCGCTTCAGCACAAAGTTGTCATCCGAGAGGTGGGAATTCCCAAATACCGACAGGCTCTTGCCCATCACCTGTATCGATCATGTCCTTATTTAGTACCCGAGCTCGTGCAAGAATGATCTGTCCCAAGTAAAAGTGACCATCCGTACAATCTAGCCTAGTTCCGTTTTGTAGGTTCTGCACTCGGGATGAGCTCGACAACAGATCACTTTCGATGGCTGCCATGACGAGCAGGAATATTGCTGGTCGAGAGTTGATCTTTGCAAGTTTTGCCTGAAGAAGGTCTCGCTGCAGACCAAGAACATGAAGGCGGCCACTCACTCTTTCAAGACGGTCAACGTAAGTTGCCAGATTGTCAATGAGGGTGTCCAGCCCTATATGATCCCCGGGGACCCAGCATACATCATCCCACGGTTTCAAGAGGGGTTCCTGCGGACGGTCCTGAGTGGCCGGCTGAAATGTACGCTTTATGTCTTGAAGGCTCGAGTAGATCCCCTCGGATGCATCGATCCGGTTTGGCCACAATTCATAACGACCATCCGCGGGCAATGAGGTGTGTCCAGAGAGGCAAAACTCGTGGAGTGCGCCCTTGATCTCAATGAGTGACTCTGCGATCTCCTTTTCTTCTTGCGCCCACCAATGCCTTGGGAAGCACTCCTCCTGTCCTGCGGCCTGGAGGCCAAGCGACTCTCCCGAAAATCTTAGTCTCGCCTCTAGCAATATCAATTTCGCCAAGGATACCTCGGAGCTATGACTCGGATTTCGGTTCCAATTAACCCGTTCTAGGAAGTCGACACAGCTCGAGAAGAGGTCAGCCAGCGCACGGGTGCGGATGTGTAAGCCGGCGCCAACCACTCCTGCAGATTTGGGCAAATAGGCTAATTTATCGATTTTGGAATTTACTGCCGCACGATCCATATTGCCACGGTGCCAGGACATGGTTGCGAGTGTATGTCAAAGCGTTCTACAGGACTGGACGGCTAGAAAAGTGCAACGTGGAGGTTGGGGATCTGAGGTGAGACAGGACTTTGCATCAATCCGTCTTAGTGCGGATCATCCAAGGGAGCTCATTCCTTGGCGCCGATAAAGGGGAAAGCGGGGTAATGATCATCCTGCACGGCGCGAACGGCCGGAATTGCGGACCGAAACGATTGTCCGTATAGATCGTTCTAAAACTCTCCACCTTCCAGGCAAAAGGTAGCCATTTCAAACCAGAGTACTCGGCCCGACACGAACAACGAACGAGGTGGAGCCATCCGACGTTGTAGCGACAGGACTACAGTATCAGCACCTCCGAAGGGTATTCAGCGAGCATTTCGCTGGCAAGGGTTCGATTGACTCGACGATTCGAGAATGCCTAAAATTGGAGCTTGACGCCCAAGAACCGCTTGCGTCGAAAGATGTGGGCGAGCGATGACGGGATATGCTGTGAAGCCGGCGATTTGCTGCCAACAAAAGTTGTGGATGCGCGTGAGACGCTGCGCAAACACGTGGCTGTTCAGAGCCGCTCGAGAAGACCATACCATGTATCGAGAAGGCTAGACCAGATGTATACTGTACAGTAGCCCATTTCCCCTGCGTAAGTGCCGTGATAGAGGTGAACGAGACGCGGAAGACGCATGGGAAGAGGGCGCCGGGACGCTTGCAACACCCGGAGTAAGACGCCACAGTATCCTGGGGAAATGCGCTTGGATTCGTGATTGGAGGAGTCGATATACGGAGCGGTGCGGCAAAAAGATAAAGTAGTCCACTAGAAGGGCTGGTAGGTGGTCATCAAAGAGGTCGCGACGGTCATCGGGCAAAATCCACGAAGAATTCTGGTAAAACATGAAACACTCTGTCAAAACTCCGCCAACATCCGCTGCCTGTGATTGGACACCCAAATGCCATAGAAAACCGTGGTAAGAGGTCGATAAAGAGGTCGCGACCAAGAGGGTAGACCCCATGATTTTCGGTGGCAGGATGTGAAACGTGACACCAAGAGACAACCGCGTAGCCTGTTGCCCCGTTCACTCATGCCCTGCGGGAAGTTTTCACGCTTGAGACACAGTACCGTACTGTATGGTAAAGTACAGTATTAATTGCTGTATTTGATTCACAGGGAGGGAGTTCTCGAGAAATCAATGGCTCAATATGCTGCTGTAATAACCACTCAAAGGTACCGTAAGCCACGATCAGGTAATCGATTTTTACATCTTCATAAAAGGAGATTTAGTCTTTATGGATCCTCCCTATATAGCGAAGGTGGTCTTGTAAGCTAATCCTCGTTCAATGCTTCGTGCAAGGCCCAATCCTCCTCCATCGAATTACTCTCTGAATGTGGTTCACGGTTCGCCGTTTCCATCCTCACAGATTGAGTGCCACACCAGTTTTGAGTTTCAACTAAAATCTGCTCCAGAACTTCAGCTTTGTCTGTCGAGCTTAGCTGCGTCCGAAGGCTTGACGCTAGGGAGGTGATTTTATTGAGAACGCCCTTCAAATTTTGATTTTCTCCTTCCAACAGTCTTTCACGTCGACGTGTCTCAAGTAATGTATTCTGGTTCTGTCGGATCATGTTTTCCTTGTCTCTCCTCATAAAAGAATTTTGCATTTGCAGAGTGTGTGCTCTATCGATCAGGATTTGTTTTTCATCTATTTGGTCGACTAGATGGCGACTGAGGCCAACAACTGTCTGATAGAGACGGGTCGGATTAGCCATGTTTGAAAAATATTTCTCAGTGGGTACAGCACCGTAGGCTTGAATCTCTACACTTCGACAGAACGAAAGGGTAGACATATATAAGCCGCCTACCATACAATCTTGTGGTTATAGTCAAAATACCCCACAGAACCACACAGAACCTGGAAAAGCGGCTGTGTCCAATTTTCGGGACGCATCGTATTCTGAAGCTGTGCTGATACAAGATACAGTACAAGCGATCAAGACTTCCTACTACGTGCCATTGTGATGCTTTCTTGTCAATATGCTTGGTAATAGTTCATTACCGTCGAATGACAAGGCTATTAAAGCACACAGCTTCTCTCTTGCTGCTCTTCTATCCTCCATTAGTGCTGCCTCCTTTGCTTGTGTGTTCACCGTGGTGACATTCCTGATATTACGTAAATTCGACCGGTTTGACCCTATCCTGTACCTTATCTCCGCTAAGTTGGCAATTCATCTGAAGCTAATCAAAGTACAGGGAACCACGAATTCTTTCCCACACTAACATCCTCACGGGACCGCTTCCTCGTCAGCCTTGGCGCTTGCTGCGTCACTTTAGCACGATTTCGAGCTCAAACATAGCACATGACTGCGGTATCGAAGCCTTGTTCTTCGATCGGTACCTTCAATTTTTGCTCCGGTTATTCGGGTGGCCTGTGCTGATCACTCCAGCCGTGATGGCATACAGTTATTGCCTGGGTTCCGCTGATGGAGGGATAGATGCTCTGGACAGACTTAGTTGGTCCAGCTTGGATCCTGAGCAAGCTAGGTTCTACTGGGTCTACGCTGTATGCGTGCCCTGCTTTGCTGGTTACGTTTTATTTTCTATCAATCGTGAGCTCCAACGGGCCGTCTCGTTACGCTCATCCTTGATTCAGGAAGGTGGTAGAGGGGCCGATCAGTGTCCTCCTCGGTTCTTTGTCGCAGTGACAGGAATTGCCCCTGACCTCCAGAATGAGCGAGGACTGCGGTCGTACTATCAGCAGTGGGAATCGCATATTTGCACAGTAACATTTGTGGGCGGTACTTTCAAAAGGAAACTCACGGCAAGGCGAGACCAACTCATCCGGAGCATCGAACGATGTGAAGTGGCCTTTATTTTCGACGAAATGAAAGCATGTGCCGGAGAGAAGATTAGCATACAGCATCGAGTGAGGGAAAGAGTGAGAAACCGCTACAGCCGCTCTCTCTCACAAGATCGGGGCTTCTCCAGGCAGATATCACAGGTTATAAGCCGATGGGTCCCGTACAATGTACAACCAGTCGAATGGCAATATCGGTCTCTTGGTATCATAAATCACGCGATCCGTCAACAGCGGGAGAATCCCCTCGGAAGTGCAAGTTCGGCGATACTCGAGATCGACGATTATCTCATTGCGAGGGCTCTTGTGACGGCGAAGACATCAGTGGATACACCGTTCTCAAGTCTGCAATATCTAGGCACATGTCGGTCGCACATAATCCCTTCGAATATCCGAAGTCCACTCCACCTACTGCACATCCGAAGGGGTACGATTGATCTTATTATTTTAGGTCTGACGACATTGTGGACACTTCCAGTTGGGGCAAACGGTTTTGTGTCTCAGCTGAGTGCAGGACTCTACCTGATCCATCGTTCTTTGACATTACCATCGTGGCTACTCGGGCCGCTTCAAGGGGTAGTACCTCAATTAGTGACATCTACTCTAATGAGCTGCTACCCCTACCTTCTGCGCCACCTCATAGGCTGGAAACAATACCCGACGGTGGAGGACTACCATCTCACGTTTCAGTCATTCTATTTTCACTTTCTGTTCGTTCAACTATTCATTGTCACTTCGGTTTCATCCGGAATTATCCCCAGTCTTGTCGTTGTGGTCAAGAGTGGCATCACGGAGGTACCGCGTCTCCTCGCGCAAAATCTACCCTTGGCAAGCAACTACTTTTTGTCATTTGTCGTTCTACAAGCGACATCCTCGGTAATTTCCACCGTCTTCCGAAGCTTCGCCTGCTTTCAACTTTGTTTTGCTCCCATGGACAAGCTTCGAACGCCGCGAGACTTGGTGAACTGGATTTACGAGACCCACGACCAGATCGACTGGGAAACATTGTACCCTACATACTCTACTATTGCTAACATCGGTGCAGTATCCTGTCTCCTTTCGAGAGCTGAGGACTGATTTGCGTGGCCAGTCTTGATCTATGCATTACTGGCGCCCTTGATTTTACCGATCTCTTTCTTGGCTTTGGGTACTGTTCTTATCTGCTTTCGATACAAACTATTGTACATCTCTAACACCCCCGTCGACCACGGGGGATTGCATTACTTTCACGCCGTCTTCCAGCTTTTTTGGGGTGTGATCACCTCTGAGCTATGCCTTCTCGGTCTATTCATTTTGAAAATTAGCCCAACACATCTCGATCACGATGTCGGCCAGATAGTCCTTCTCTCCCTGACCCTCTTTTCAACCATACAGTATCGAAAGTTTCTTCAACATGTATACGGACCCCATCTCAAAAGTCACGGTATCGAATTACACTTGCAACCTCCCCATTCCCCTGTCCAACGAAAATTTCAAGCAGCAACAAGCGATCTTGCGCGTTGGTGTGATTCATCTTTCGGTACCGCCACAGCAAATTCAGTCATTTGGTTGCCAAAGGATCCATTCGGTATCAGTGACATCCTGATCCAGGTGGTCAGCCGGAAATACTTCGATCCTGGAGACAAATGTTGCACTAACTCTGGTGCGGAGATGAAGTTATCTGGCCAAGTCATTCTTGAGTAAAACCCACCAGCAATGATGGGTTGTCCTGAGAACGGTTTCTCTTAACTTCATAGATTGACAGGTCGATTTGCATGCCTTTCACTCTCGCTTTTCAAAGTGAACTTAATTTGCCGGGCGCACGTCCGCTGGATGTTATGTTGAGATGTACATGCTATTCGCCGCAGAGCCGACTGATGAATTCAAATGACCAGCAGTAAGAGATATATCAAAATGACACGAAAATAGAGTAAAAGCATTATGGCGAGTTCTGGGAATTTCCTCTTGTTCTATAAAACTAGGGCTTATACTACTCTCTGGCGGACTGGTGAGCCTTTGCCATATGTAGTTATATCTACCGTAAGAGTCGAATTGTACGCCCTGCACGGAAAATGGTGGAAGGTTTCCAGGGCCCAATCCTGGTAATGCTACAGTTTTCCGCCCCAGTGCTCCGTATCTGTCCTCGCAAACGGGTGGAGAAAGCCACCAATCGATGATGACTTCGCTACATATAAGCTACAATCATCGAGGAACGGAGTGTACATCTCAGTAAATTATGCAGCATGGATCGTTGTCCACATGTGCAATGGCTCGGCCTAGAAGGTTTAGTGCCAGACTGGGCTCTGCTCGACTCGGATCGTCTGAACATGGTCATCAACCAGCTACGAGACCCTCGACAGCAATTTCCCTCCCTACTATTATTTCTGGGGACCAAATCAAAAACCACTGCCTTAAGGGGATTGTATGTCGGCAACAACCCTACGCGGCGTCCCCCGCATGGGATTGCAAACCTCCACGTGGACTCGAATACAACCGAGTCCGAACAACCCATTATCTTTGCGGACTGTACGGTCAAGGCCGAGTGTTCCAGTTTAACCGACGGATATCATGGCTGCCATGACCAGAGTCGCTTTGCGATTTATCGGGAGCAAGACGATCCCGTCCTGAAATTGTCCAACATGGTGACATATGTCCATCTTAACCTTCTGTTCCCCTTCACACACGTGGTTTGTATCTTTGCGGACGACTTCGGAGGCAATGTCAGTTGCTCTCAATACATCGACAACTGGATTCAGCTTGGTACTGAACAAGATGCCCGGGGACGCCCACAGTTGGTCATCGTGACCAGCCAACTGACGGGAATCGATGCCTTCGTGCAGATCGAATGCACTTCCAAATTCTCCTTGCTCTTTGACTCCTTGGCTATCCTTACTTCCGATGTCTCCGCTTGTCCAAGTGACCCCGCGTCCCAGTTCTTACAGACGCGCCTGAGGTGTATCACTGACGACATGAGAGAGGACCGTCGTGCGGGTCACCTCCTTTTCAGCGCTCTGCACGTCGCCGAGGCGTTTTCTGCAGCAGTGCCGCAGTTTGCACGAAATCCGAGGAGAGCTGTCGACATGCTAAGATGTTTCGCGCAGCCCTCAGTATCCTGGCCTGCGTTTCACACCTCCTTGAATGCCTTTTTGGCTGTAGCTGCGAACATAGAGTCGCCGCCACCGCTAGTGTTTGATTTCATTGCGTCTATAATGCTGGTACACGCTTATCGAGCGCAGACTCACCGTGGGTGCATGGATACTGTCTTTCGGAGTGCGCACCTGAGGGTCCTAACATTAATCATTCTCAGGCTTCTCTCCGGCCTTAATGTTCACCGAGTACTTCCGCCAACAGCTCGCCACGTCTCAAATCCCTGAGAGATACAATGATCCGAGCACGGTTCAGGCGCGATTCGTGGAACTTTTTGATCTGCTGAAGTTCGAATCTTCGGCTGTCGAGGTACGGCGAAAAATTCTGCGGCAACACCGACCTCACTGGAGGCAGTTGAAGTCGACAACTCAATGCTTCCTCTGCATGACCCGACCAACAGAGCGAATGATGCCTTGTGGCCATGGCTCGTGTGAAGAATGCATTCATGATTACTATCCATCCGGTACAGCCCCATATACATATCATGTAGGTGAGTGTGAGTTCTGTGGTGTGGATGCTCTGACCACTTTGTATTGTAAACCTATCACGGTACAACCTAATGTTGCAGCAATTGACGGAGGGGGGGTGCGCGGTGTGGTTGCCCTGGTGCTACTAAAACGCTTGCAGGCCGCCCTTGGCACACACCAACCTATTTCGGATTACTTCGATTACTTCATTGGCACAAGCGCTGGTAAGGTGATCCAATGCGGCAAAATACTTCCGGCTGACACGAAGAGTCACAGGGGGTCTGATCGTCCTGGATCACGTGATTTGCGGCTCGTCCCTCGACGCCAGCATAGCTCGGTTGGAAGCCCTTTCCCATCTGGTCTTCCCTAGTCAGACGTACAGGTTTCGATCACTCTCTCGACGTCTACTTCACTGGCTGTCCTGGTGGTTGAGTGACAATAAATATGACACCGGGGCTTTAGAAGATGCCGTGCAAGACGCCTTTGGGGTTCATCAACGCATGTTCGATTCACGGAGTCAACCCTCGCTAGGAACTAAAGTAGCGGTCACAGCAACCACCGTGTCCACATCCCAGCTTCGGTTGTTCACGAACTACAACGGAGTGGCACGATCGAGGCAAGGAAAGGGTACGTGTGAAGGCTGGCCCTGAGTCTCTCTTCTGATCAGAAAATATCAGGCTATGCTATCTTGCGACCGTCCACGCCTTCCGCCGAGGCATATCTCTGGGAAATGTACGTCGTAGTGCGAGAGTCGACCAAGAAGGGTATAAACAGTACTAACAAGGCACTCTAGCGCCCGAAGTACCTCGGCGGCTCCAGGGTGAATAATCATCCTCGATGTGTGTCCTGAGAAGGGCTGACGTTTGATCAGGTACTTTCGGCCCAAAATGATCGGCCCGTTCGGGGCGTTACAGGACGGCGGAATCAGGGCCAACAACCCAACTGACGCCGCTCTCTGGGAGTTGAATTGTATATGGCCTGAATCCGATGGACCTAACTTGGTTCTTTCGGTTGGGACTGGTAATCAAAAACCTGCACAGCACGACACTGGATCATATCGAGGAATATGGCTTGACGGTTTCATCCCCCGAATACTGCGAGCCTTCTTGTCCTCGCCGTCCCTCGACGCTGATAGCAGTTGGATGGCTCTTTGGAATCGCCTCGATGACAATACAAGGGAGCGATTTCATCGTCTGTCTTGCGAATTTGACGGCGACTTTCCCTCCCTGGACGACAGCGCCCAGATTCTTCGACTGATTCAGATGGCTCAGGACACTACCTTGGATTTAGATGTGCTGAAGCGCAGTCTATGGGCATCACGTTTTTTCTTTGAACTGGAGTCTAAGCCCCGGCGAATCCGTGGTTATTACGTATGTCAAGGCACTATCTTTTGCAGATTTCGCGACTGCCGTGACGTGATAGTAACAATCCGTCGCCGTTTCCGTTCGCCAAAGATCATCGTGGAGAATCGAGTACTGCTGGACTTGAACGATGATACTTATTTCTGCCAAAGATGTGGGCATTTCAAGGGGACAGTGGTGTTTGAAGTTTCCCATCTAGGACAGACAGTTTCATTGGGTTTAAAATTTGACAATGAGAGGCAGAGCCACCTAGCCAGCTTTCCGAAACCTATGGAGTGGTTCCTTGCCAGGCAATCCAAGGATGGTCAATGGCGCCAGTGGCAGTCCTCCGAGCCGTGTTGTGAAACCCAATTGAAGCGACCACGACGAGGCTTTGCAAGAAGTACAAATAAGAGGCCGAGACTTCGATGATATTCATCGTATTGAAATACTGTAGTGTATACTCAAAATACAAAACCTTTTGTGTCGCTAAGGTAGAAGCAAAGTTGGGAACATTCAGTGTCTCTCTCAGATCTTATTGTTTCCTCGGTCTCTCGCTTGTCTTGTCATACAGTACTGTGTCGACATATCTGTAATAATAACATTAAATGTCGTAGTATAAGAGCCGAGTCTATTCTATCTCTTATGCGATAAGCGTCGTGCCAATACGCTAAACTGGAAGGACGCTAGCGGTGAAACAGGGAGAGGCACCATTATATCGTCAGGAAAATGTCAAACCTAGACAATGGCCCAAAAAGTAGGCATTGTATTCATCATGGTGTACATATTAGCCGTGTACTGAGCACATCCGCCACTCGATTCAATGAGGAGGGTCTGTGGCCGAGACGAGGGATAGCAAGTGCTTCCGCCGCCAGCCACTAGATAAGAGTCCGTGCTGTGCAGTATTAGATGACCATTTACTCAACAGTTGGCTAACTCATCACAAACCTGGGTCAAATGGCTTGCCGACTCGGTTAAGGTTTGCTTCAGGAAGTCTACGAGTTGTAGTGTGTAACGTCCAGGATCCGGCTTTCGCTCAGACTCGTTACTTTTCGTGACTAACGTCATAATAATATTGCCGAGATCTTGCACATCGACATTAGCTGCAGGAATACCCTTATGGCTGTTCCTCTGGCAGATCTCGGGTTCGCCTAAAGAGGTCGGTCATCGATCATTGCCTTGGAGGAAACAGAGGTACCAATCATGACCTTTCCTACTTTACTGACCCAAACATTTACCAGGCTTAATTTTCCATACCTCAGACTGTGAGCTTCCAGGAAGGCGAGCCCCTGCACCAGCTGCAGCTTGTCAGTCTGCGGGTAGCCAGCAGGGTCTAAGCTTACTTGCTTGTCCAGTAATGGCCACCACTTCTTTTTGGGTAGGCAATCTCGCATGCTCAACGAGATACAAAAGAGAGAATTCGACAAACTCGCAAACAATATCCACCATTAAACTCGAGCAGAATATCTCAAAAGTCTTAAGGAAAAAGGGCTGCTGGCGAAATTGGGCCAGAAGTCTGGCTTTCTCGTAGAGCCGCTCTTTGCTCGTCTGTCGGACGAGAACGACATCCTCGGGGGATTCAATTCTCCGTGCAACACTAATCAGTGCGTTTAGTCTAATTACACGGCATTGAGTATACTTGGTCCAGACCGATGACGTCGAAGATCGAAGTGTATTGAGGGACTCTCCATCTTTGCTAGAATGAACTGCGAGAGGTAGCCGAGGCGGTCTAAGCCTGCACAACTCGTCGGGAAGACATGTCTGATTCTCTAACTTTGAAGGTTGGAAGCTTGCCATTGGAAAGCGGTTAGCAGGTAACTTGGAACAAAGGATGTGACTTGGACGCAAATTGACTCATGGAGTTGGCCCACTGTATTTCCCGAAACCGCCCTGCCTGTGTAAACTCCTTTCGAATAAACGTTATATTATAGGAGGCGTTGACTATGCCTATCTAGTGATAATAAACCCACTAATTTCGATGTAAATACTCCGCCACCTCCTGTGGTTTCTGTCGATCCCGGACAGATACGAAAATTATACTGAGCAATATGTGATATATACAGTCCCATACTCACCACACTCCACGTATTAATGAGCTTATAAGATGCTTCTATACTGGAGAAGCGCCAGCTTTCAAAAGCTATGAGAATATAGTAATTCATTGTAGTGCTATACCAGTAATTACTCCGTTCTCGTCAGTTACAAGGTCTAATCATTCAATTTGTTCTACTTCGGCGACTGAGAAGGTCTTAATAGGTCGTCGTCGCCTCTAATAGACATAGTGTTGTTCATGATGGTGACGGCTCGCGGTATGCACAAAACTTCGAGTTATCTTTAATCAATGAAGGAGGTGACGGACAAATTGAACGAAAGACACGGGTGGCTCTTTGTGTGGTGATAGTCACACTACCTTTGATCAATAAAGAAGAAGGTGGCAGAAGCTCCGGAGGGGGGACTAGATTTAGTAAATGTTACGTGACAGGTCGCCCAGTAGGGTGTTCGGCAAGGCAAAGCACGAGATCACCTTGGCAGCGATTGTCGGTCTTTACAACTTGTCTAGAAAACCTCGTAAAACTGTGGCTCCGAAACGCCATTAATCATTGGATGAATTGTCAGAGTAAACAACTCCATGTTTAGCTAGGCTTTTCCACTTATATACTGTATTGCTGCCTTCATGATACACCGACTTTAACGCAGATATAACTCTGTATACCCACCGAAACCGGTGGTCATGAACTTAATATAGATGCTTAATACTCATATGCACCCCCACCCACCCTTTTACCCTCAACTGTACGTGGTATAATCCATGGTTCTCAAAAGCACCCTTACATAAAGTTGCAACTAAGACTGCTGATATAGAATAGTTTGCAATCGCGGGAGCTCGTCGATAATCCCATTCCACCGACGCCGACACATTGGGCACCTGCGGGATGAAGAGCGACAAGCACATGCAACGCACTTGCGAAGGCATTTTCGACAGAAGCAGTGTCCTATCTGAGTCAGAATTTTTTGGGCTGACGGTTGGATTTAGGAAGATAATCACCGCATGGAAGTCGTACACGTTCGTCTTGTACCTCCAGCTCATTCCCGCCGCCACAGCACTCGTACTTTTCAGACACTGATGTTAGACAAATCGCGCAATCCAATCCGAAGATCTCCCGCACTTTCTGTCGCCCATGCGTGAAATGGTCATGCCGAGGACAGTGGTATAGCAGGCTGATCCGATGACGATTTCGAACGTCGGCGGGATGGCCTCCTAAGCTACAATCTCCGCAGATCACCTGGTCACAATGAGCAAGCATCATTTGCTGAGCTATCAGTCTAGGCAACCGCACACAGCCACAGGCGGTGAAAAGAAAAATGCGTGATAAGTGATCGGTGCCAGAACCCAGTACGCGTGAACAAAGTACACACTGCTCAGTTTCCACTGTCAGGTCAAGGATAGGTCGCTTTCTAGTCGCAATGATCTCCTTGTCGTCCTCGTTCGAACTGTCACTTTGTGCGTTGCTTTCTATGGTGAAATCGACTGTTAGATACTTATAGTTTGAGCAGATAGGATATCAGAACTTACGAGAACCATGAAACTTGGGCACCGAGATTGTCTTGGTTACCGTGGAAGGTCCTGTCTGGCCTCTTGTGCTCGATTTAAGATGTTTTGAGGTCGCCATGGCTTAGGGCATTGAAACAGGGGAGTACGCCTGAGGAGGAGGTCGCCCTCTCAGTCTTTTATCCTCTGTGTTTGGCAATGCCAGCATCCTGGAAGTGCCACGTAAGGGAGTAATCTGAGCCTTGCTAGTGGCTACTAGGCCAGGACGTGTAAATACTGTCTGAGTCAAGTGTCGCATCTCCCACCCACCATGGAAACTTGTGGTCCAATTCTTTCGTCTTACACAACTCGACGCCTATAGAGTTGCCACCCAATGCAGCTAGGCTGGAAGTTGAGCCGTTGACTATTATCTCTAGCATGATTGTATTGTGATATTTCCGTCTACTGGGACTCGATTTCCACGGGAATCTGGCCAATGGCAACATAATGTGAGTGAGGAGCCGCCTGTCGCCCTTTCGAGCCTGTTTCTGCTAATGCAAGGCGATATTTGCCTGTGACACGATGTCACCATCTCACGGCCATCCAAGGTTTCCAGAGGGCGAAGTAGCACAAGGGTCACTAACCTCTAGTCGAGATGGGTCAGCTGAGTCTTCGCTCGCATGCATCCCGTCTTGACTATCCATCCATATTTGAGTCGAACAATGCATGAAATTAAAGATAGTGCTTTGATACCTTCCCGGTTGGCATCCTAATTCTCAGTGCATGAGTTTAGAGGTCGAAACTTGCCTACGGTCCCACCCCTCTCCCCTTGCGAAGTAAGTTATTGACAAAAACTTTGACCCATGGAAGAGTCACACAGTGCAAAGTGATACCTCCGTAATTTTTGAAATTTCAGGAAAGACGATCTCCGCGTAAACGTCGTGCCAAATGAATATCCTTCGATTTTATGGTAACCCTTTTGGCATGGATGGCACATAGATTTGTATCTTCAAATAGTGACACCAAATATGCCTCTGTGGCTTCTTGCAACGCTCCTATTGCGGTTGACTGGAAGCGGAGGTCGCTCTTGTAATCCGATGCAATCTCCCGCACCAGTCGCTGGAATGGCAATTTTCGTATAAGTGGTTCTGTTGAGCCCTTTCTTGCAC